AAGATTTCCTTTATCGAGCGAGATCCTTCCACAACGAAGCAAACGCGCCGACTGAGACCAACGAACAGAAGTGAATAAAAAATGGCGCTGCGAACTAATGTAACGTCGTATGGTGAGTTTTTGTTCGTATCGTGGAGCAAAAATATGTTCGAATTTCATGTCGTATCCTGAAAATTTCGTATGCTGGGGCGTTCGTATCCTGAGGTACCACTGTACTCAAAGATATATAAAATAGTGTTATAATAATATACTGTGCTGTACATGTTAATATGTCTAACAAAATTGTTATATATATTCACATATTTGCATTAAAAAATTTAATTTTTATATGATGATATTCAGTTTATAGTAGTATTTTTTTTTTATTTTTTATCAGAGTTGTCAATATGAATTGTTATATCAAATTGATAAAGCAGATACAATAGATTCTGTAATATTTCCTTATTGTAATAAGCATAGAAACAGGTAGATGAACATCATCTTACATAACTTAAGAATAGGAATCAACGCATTGCTTACAATTGCTTACGTGAAGGAAAGAAATTATGCTTAGGTAATAGAATTGTCCTTACAATACTTATCAATAATCACTTTTGTCTTCAACTGAATCAATGTAATTTATTTTTAAGTTTCTCATAACAATCGATAGGACTTAGGCTTCATATATATATTTTTTTTTTATTATTCTGTATTATATGTAGACAGAAGTCTTTTTTATTCTTAATGAGAATTGTTGAACATACTTCTGTTATATTTGATTTGAAAGTTTATTTATTTATTTATATTATATTTATTATGATAATTGTATCTGTTCAGTTTTATTTCAAGTAATATTCAAATTTGCATATTGTAACCTTTATATACTCTTTGCTGAGGTGATGTAATGATCCCCAGGTTCCTGTAGCACAGAAATCTCTTGCTTAAAGCACAGCTGGATGATCTATAATCAATCAAGATCAAGCTGGATGATCTATAGCCATCTCAGTGATGTTTCTTGAGGAATGGGATCAGCCTCTTCTTAATACATTCCTTTATGTACACTCGTTTATTGATGCGGAGGCAAGAGTGTGCTACGAATGCTCGAGATCTTTATTTTGGACTGATTGCTAACCAAGCCAATACTTTTTGAGGAAATTTTGCATGATATTTAAATTTTATCTGTGTA